CCTCTCCTTGCTATATAGATTTCCTTGTGAAGCTTCATGGGTCTCATTTTATCAATTTCAACAGCAATTTCCTACTTTTGAAGTTCCAAACCCTTGAGAGCGAGGGTGTTTGGGGAGGGGAGAATTGTTCTGTAAATAATATAAAAAGGGGATGTGTTTTGTAAATAAGATTGGAGAGGGGACATGACTCAGATTAGTTAGTTATTTCGGTAAATTTGGTTAGAGTCAGCCCTATCCTAGGCCATATTAATAAGACCTAGGGCCTCACAATTGCATGTTCTTATTTGGGAATATTCAGTGTACTATTCAGTCTCCTACTTCACTCCTTCATCTGTTTCCTCTATCTCTCTTCTACCTACCCTCTTCTCTCCTTCTTTCACTTCTTTACACATCACTTAAATTGTCAATAAAGTTAAAATTTTGATATAATAATTCCTTTGTAAATCTATAATGAGTACACCAAAACGTATATGATGAGATTTAAACATTTACATCCAGTTCCACTTATCTTCTCTCCGAAGCTTTTATAATGAGATCTTGAGAGACACAGATATCTAAACTTCTCTGTTTACTTCTCTCGCTCTGTTAGTCTGTTTACCTCTATCACTTTATAATGAGTTCAGTCTTCCAGTATTTAGCACAGTATAAGCTTCATTTGGCAATTATACTGTCATAGCATATATGATATTTTAATTGAGAAGTCGGTGATTCAAGTCCAACAAAGGCAATGTCTTCCAACTCATAGTGAAATCATTTGCTATGGTATTATAACCAGAATGGTTATTGGCTTTACTTTAGATTTAAATCTGTTCATCCTATTTACTGCCTTTCCTATTCCCTAATTTGGCATAGATTAAAGATGCAAAGGTGAATTGACTCTCTCTCTCTCTCTCTCTCTCTCTCTCTCATTTTTAAAACTCACAAGGTTAAAGCATATTAGCCGGTTATGCTATTCAACCTCTTTATTTACCTTTTGGTTCATTCCTTGGATGCCTCTGAGAGATCGAGGAAACTTATAGGGAAGTCTTTGATCCTGGGTTGAGAGTGTTGTATCTTATATACGAAATGGAATTTGTGTAATGGCATATTTACTGTTTTAAAAATAGGCTTCTTTTGGTTGAACTTAGTACCATTGACATGTAGGGTTGAATGGCTTTCAAATTTTTGGGTGATTCATTGACATCTGATAAATGATTTTCCAAGATGTACTATTCAATTGACAAGACATTGGTGATTCTTTTTTAAAAGTTTGCTATCAAGTTTACAAATAAAAGCATAATGTGTTGAGAATTTTTACAACTCATCATTCTATTAATGACTCATCCAAGAAAGTTTTCTGCATTCTTGACGAATTTGATAACAGACATTTAAGAGCAAAAATAGGTTCTTACCATAAACACTCTACAGTGTAATGTTACACTGAATGTGTACTCTCGTGTATCCATATATTTTGTTAAGAATTACTGTTCCTTTGTTTAGATAGATAGATATATATATATATAAATAAATCATATATGTGGATTTAGAAAGTGTTTATATTGTTTATGATAGAACCCTAAGTTCCAAGCATACTGCAATACTCCTCTAGCTTTGTAGTGCAAATTACACTGTAAAGTAGGTCTTATATTAAGGATCGGAAAAGTAGCTTGAATCTTCATTGGACTTTTGGCTGAGACAGACTAGTTTCTATCCTTATCAGTAAGAGAGTGTAAAATGTATTTTAATCTTTTGTATGACATCAAGTTTTGCACATATTACTTGTATGCTTATTGCCTCCAACTGTATTAGCTACTCAAGTCACAAACTTTTTGTGCACTTGGTTTTAACTGAAGCTGCATCATCCACTGAATGTACTTCAAAATTGGATTGATCATTGAATTGGTAGGGACATGGGTTAAAAGTTCACATTGTTTTGATTGTAGTTGAATAAATTAATGTTTTTTCAGTTTTATGTGCAAAATTATTATATCGAAAGCTAAAGAAAATGTTTTTATTATCTTTTTTAATCAGTTTTTCTTACCAATTTTATCATTTTTTTTTAATCTATTTTTAACCGGGCCGATGTGGAAACATTCCATGTGAGATTAAGGCAAAATTGATGATTGAACCGGCTGATCTGATCTAGTTTTTTGAACATTGACTTGAGTAAATCATATGAACATGCATTTATTTTAGGGGTCCTTCTGTCATCTGATATAACTTTTTCATCTTGCAGCTTGTGTGGATAAGTGAAGAACTGCTTAGCGGGGCATCTTCTGTTATCATTGCTTATGTTGACAAGATCATTCAGATTTTAGATCAGGAAAATACCAAATTATGTACAGCTACTTATTGGTTTTCTCATAATTGTCTAGATTGTTTATGACATGGCCAGAGACAGTATTATTTCAATCTATATTCACTCTTGATTTAAAATTTCAAGCAAAAATTGTATTTGTATGTTGAAATTGATTTCACGACAATGATGAAGTTAATGGCATTCCGGATACGGTCGGTTATATCAAGGTACAGTGTAGGTTCCTTGACCCTTGCCTGGATTTGTGAAGCTTCAATAGGCTCCTTGACATTAATGGCTGTCTATGGGGATAAAAGATGACACTTTATATTCCTTCCAACTCCAAATACAGGTCATTTCTACTTAATTATATGTACTAGTAAAAGCACTTGTGATTTATAATATTACTCTTATTAACTACATTAGATTTTAACATTACATTAGTTTCTACATTTTTTTTCTTTACCCTTGTTGATTATGGGCATATATAAAAAAATATTTAATACTTTTTAAAACTATCAAATGCCTTATAAAAAGTATCAAAATTATTTTTTGAAGATACCCTATGTATGAAATCGGAGGGAGTATATATATACATACACACACATATTCTATGAGAGTATATGTTATTCATGCCATGCAAATAACTTACAAAGTATAATTTTTCATCCTGCAGCTTGTGTGGATAAGTGAAGAACAGCTTAGCGGGGCATCTTCTGTTATCATTGCTTATGGTGACGAGATCATTCAGATTTTTGGCAAACTAGTTTACGCATGATCAATATATCATTAAAAAGGTACAAAAAATAATTGTAAAAAACAGAAAAAGAAGAAGAAATGAGACGAGGCACATAAATAGATGTAATATATTTGTTTAAAATTGCACTTCCAAAAGATATGCCAGTTTGGGTGAAAAACAAGAATGGCGCCTACACTGCTCTTTCTGGTTATCATGTTGCCAAAGAGATAGAAGACAATAGCCCAGATTTTGGCCCCGGCGCTTCTTTTTATTATTCCTGTGCAGTTATGGAAGCGTATTTGGAGTCTACATATTCTTCCAAAGATAAAGCACTTCTTAAGGAGAATGTTGAATGGTTCTCTCGCTACAAAAGATGCTTTGCATAAAAGGAAATGTGTCAGAGATAATCTTTGTACATTTTGTATCAATGAAGCTGAAACCATAGAACACCTGGTTTTGCACTGTCCTTGGGCGACTTTGTGGTTTGGCTGTCCCTTAACTCTGATGACTAATAAGAGCAATAATACCTGCGTTAAGAAATCGTATGTGTATAAATTTTTTTTTTGGAGCAGAGGAATATTGATGATCGTGGAAAATCTCTAGTTGCTGCAATTTGTTGGGGCATTTGGAAGGGGAGATGTGATTATATTTTTAATGACAAGAAGCCAGATCCTATGAGAATTATATCAGTAGCTTCTCTTTAGAAGTTTGGGTGGCTAAGGCAAGTAAAAATGATAATGTTGCTGGTATGAAAAAAGGGAAAGTCCTGCGGAGCTTGTCTTGGGAACCTCCAAATGAAGATACTGTCAAAATCAACATGGATGGATATTTCACAAAGCAAAATGAAGAGGCAGGCATTGATTTACCTTGATTGCTAGGCAAGGAAATCGTGTTGCAGTTCATCTAACAGCTATTGGTAAAAGAGGGAAGGCATCCTATGGATGCGTTATAATAGCATCATCTCACCTTTAAAGTATGCTAGATAATGACTCTGGGTGGAAGGAGCAAAGAAGGTGGGTTTGCTGATGACCGTTCTGGAATAGGATGATCAATTTGTTCTTTTTCGTAGTTGTTTCCTTCTTCTTCTTTTTTTGACCAGTTTGTTTCCTTCTAGTTTAACTTGGACCTGACCTTTGGTTGTTGAATTGGTGTCTTGATTCCCCCCCCCCCATGCTTTTCCTTTAGACTGGTTGTATCCTTTTCTTTTTTTGAATAAAATATCTTTTCGTTGAAAATCTCTTTAAGAATTCCTAAAGGAAAGAGGTACGCTTGCCATGCAAAATCTAGTAAAGGTTCAGTTACGTCGTACACTTTTAGAGGAAAAATTTAGGTCATATTTTGTAAAGTGAAAAGAATTGTAAGATAATTGAAATGAAAATGTAAAATCAAAGTCGGCATGAGCAAAAAGGAAAACTAACTTTTAATTTGTCAATTTGTTAAAGTGAAAATAAAGTAGGGACGTCAAAGAATTATAGAAAATTACTATATTATTCCCTATTGCAAAAAATAGTTAAATATATTTTCAAATAAAGCAATAAAACATTTAGTTTTAAATACAATTTTTTATTTTAAAATGATAGAAAAATTATAAAATACATACTCTAATAAATCCTTTAGATTATAAACAATAAAAAAATTGATCAATAAAGTTGGTCTACTAAGAACAGATTAGACTTCAAAAAAGGAAGCTCCAAAGTGAGAAATCCTTTCATAATAAAATTTATTCATGTCTACCAAGCATGTCGATGACATGGCTTATATTTTCGTACTCTGCGTTTTTAAATTCAATTTTTTTTTTTGCAAATTAATAGTATATTATTATTTCCTACTTCATTCTATAAAAATAGCAAGTCCTATACCATTCGGATTAAATTTGAGTGGTTTGAGTGAAATGTGCATATCACCTGCATCTTAGAGAAAAGCTTGGATCAAGACTCCCCCCCCCTCCCCCCAAAAAAAAAAAAAAACATGGGCAGCAAACATGGCATTAGATCTAAGCTACCTCCTCTTTTACCTCCATGAACAGAGTCCATTCATTTTCCGACTCTTATTGATTATCCAACCCAGATTCATAAATTGTTCTGTCAAGGATTGATTCATGGAAGAGATTTTCAGCCACATGGATGGAAAATTTGAAGTGACTCTAACAGATTCCACAATGATGTGGATTGTGCACTGTGCAATGAACAGAGCTCAAGAGAAGATGAAGACCAAGAAAGGAGTTATAGAGCGTTTGAATGAGATCTCCAAATTCTATGAGTTGGCTGTGTTGCAGCTTGAAGGCTGTCTTAGTTTTGTGCAGACTGAGACAGAAAGAAACAGCTTTCTTGATACCAATCACCAACAGGTTCTTTCTCATCATTTCATACATATTGCTGCAGATTGAACTCATCTGATCCAAATCAAACTCATCATGACTAAATTAATATGTTTTTAATTGTTCTGCTATTAAATCTTTTTTTCTTTCCTTTTCCTTTGTTATATCAGGAGAGTTTGAACCATAGACTCCTATAAACACCTAATCTGATCCTCATCACTATTACTAATTTTTTATCAGTTTTTATTGGTTATTCTTGATTGATTTTGACTAGTTTTTTTATTGGTTTTAATGATTGAGGTTGTTTCTGACTTGAGAGAAATCAAAGACCGCCTCCAACGACGGCTTGAGGAATCAGAAATGGCCATCTCCCAGAAGGATAGAGAGTTGACAGAGAGATTAGAGAATGAGTTCAAGCAGAGGCAGCAGCAGCAACCGCCATTAGTGGAGCTGCAAGAAAGAGAAATGGCTTCTTTTGGTCTTAACATTGAACTGGAAAACACAAATTCAAAGAATCATGACAGTGATGAACATGATGGTTCTTCTTATGAAAAGATGAAAACTTCTGCAGATCAGCAAATGATGAACATCAGTGAAACATCTGAACCAAATGGTAACATGCTAGATAAGGCATTATAACAAGTTATTTTCTAGAAGATAATTTTAGTTTTCCCAATATCCAAACACTAAATATTTTATTAGTGAAATATCCTATATGGTTGTGTAGTTAGATAACTAAATCATAGGGACGTCTATGGAAGACTACTCCAAATATGATCCTGCTCTTTATTTTATCATGTAATAGTATAATAATTATTTAGTATTTTGGCTTCGTATTTATGTTAGTAGGTGAGGTACCACATAGTGGCATTGACACCAAGAAGGTTGAAGAAATGGGCTGTGATATAGACATACTGAAGCAAACTTTGGATGTTGCTTTTGAGAAGATTCAGAATGCTATTTTCATCAGTGAAATGGGGCCAAAAGACCAACAATGGAAGCTAACAACCGAGAAGGAGATACAGTCCATCTTAGTGAAAAGTTACATGACTGAATTCCAAGAGAATATTGAATCAGAAGTGAAAATGCAAGGGATGCAAGTTCTGAGAAACTGGTGGGACCATTGGTCACAGTTGATGAATGAGGTCACAAGCTTAAAGCATGAACTCGAACTTTTTGTTAGCCAAAATGAGTTCCATAGTGAGGATTACAGCAACAGTTCAGTCCTGTTTTCCCAAGAAAATGTTTCTCAGGAAATGGTAGGAAAGCCTGCATCAGAACAAAGTGGTCATCTGAAGTTACAAGAAGATGAAGGTACTGAAGATGAAAGAAACTTAGTCGCCAAAATGGTGAAGAAGCATCAATCCATTACTCGCCGAAAGAGTGAAGAACTGAATATAAGTAAGTATGGATTATTACTACAAGAAAAGAGAGTTTCACCAACAAAGAAAGAAAAGGAGCTGATGAGTAGCATGAAAGACACAATGCAAAATATTTCTTCAAGGTTAGACAACTTAATGACATGGAATTCTACAGTAAGCAAATTTCTTTTTGACCGACGAGTTGCTGATCATCAAGAAATGAATGAATGTACCTTAAAAAGTGCCTGGGAGAATATGAAAGGAATCTCTAATGCAAGAAATGAAGAACAAGAAAATAAAAATATGTTGAATAGAGATAAAGAAGATAAGCTATCAGAAAAGAAGTCCTTGGACCAAGGTGTGGTTGAGGAATTTCATAACAAATCCTTCAATTCTGACATAGAGAACCAAATAGAGGAGGGTTTATTTAAATTCTACTTAGAAGAAACAATCAAAGATTGGAATGATTGTATTGAAAGGGAATGCATTGAAAGCCAGATCAGAGAGGAGTTATATTTCACTGTATTATCTGAGTCAGCTAAGGATCTTATCTGTTCTGCTCAAGAGACTAGCAAAGTAGATGAAACAGATAAAACCATAAGAGAGGATATAGGCAAGCTAGTCTATAAGGGAATGATAGGAGAATACAACATCGCATTAGAAGATTATAGCGCTTCGATGGAATATAGAGTAGGTGCAATTCGAGATAATTTCCTCAACCATTTACAGCTCATGAGCATAGAAAGTCTTGTAAAGGAAGATATATGTATGGTTGTTCTAAGATGCATGCTCATGGAATGGAAGATAGAGTTAGAAAATTACTACTTAGAGAACCTTATTAAGGAACAATTACATCAGTTCATAGTGGTTGAAACAATGAGAGAGGCCATCATAATGCCTATGGAAGTCAAGTCACAACATGTCCAAGATAAAACTATGGAAGAAGGTGCTCAATCCATGATGATGTTAGATCAAGTACACCAGGTTCAAAGTGAAGAGAAGTTTATTAAAATTTTGTTAGAGTCTTTACTGAACTGTTTTCAAGCAGAGGAGAACTTGATGTTAAGTGCAAAATCAGAGATCAAGGAACATAGCAGGCAACTTGACTTGGGTTCAGAACGAGGCGAGTTACATGAGCATGAAATTTTCGAGGATTTGATAATTGGAGAGGAACAGACTTTCTATTCCTTGACTAACAAGGTAGAGAAAGCATTGCAACAATTAGGCACAAGCAAGGAACTTCTAAGTGAGTTGGGCACTACTTTAAGCCTTAGATTATGCAACTCAGAGAAAAATCTTGATCAAACAACGACACGAGAAGGAGAAAAGTCAATGTCAGATTTGTCACCTTTATTTTACTTCTTGCATACATTTACAGAATTTGAGGGCGGGGTAAACCAAAAGCTAGAGATAGAGACCGTGAGGTATATCACACATTCATTCACCAATATATTTACGTGCCTTCTTGCTTTTCTTTAATATCAACATTTCTGAAAATTTTGCATACAGATTAGAAAGCATGAACTATTGTTTGGAATTAGTTGCTGAGTCGATTGGTTGCTTGAGAAGCAAGACATCAACTTTTCAGAAAGCCTTCGCTAGAAGATGCCAAAATCTCCAAAAAGCCGAACTTGAGGTCAGCAGAATCAACTCACGTTTTGTACACTAAACATAATGGTAATCTAGTTATCTAAGTAAACTTAAGGAAAGTAATTCAGTTTCTATCTTCTGCGACCGATCTTAGATCCTTTTTAATTTAATCCTAGCTTCCTTCAATACTTTTGTTACATATAAGTGCTTAATACTACAGCTAAAAAATTGCACAAAATCTACATAATAAATCTCAAGGTAAAAAAACAGGGGACCGGACTGGTTCAACCAGAAAACCGGTCAACAGCATATGGTCCGGTCTGGTTTAGCTTAAAAACTGGCCTCCAATCAACCCAGGACGAACCAGAATAAACCGGTACAAACCGGGCAAACCGTTGGCTTGGTGGGTTGCCCGGTTGTTGATTTTTTTTTTTTTTTTGACTTCCTTCTTGTTCTTACCTTTCGCCGGAGAAGTGATAGACTAAATCACCGTTTGCCGTAGACCATAAACATTGCAGAGACAAGCGGTAAAAGCAGAGGAAATCATAGGGAGGAAGACAAAACTTTGTTTGGAAGTCTGTTGTGTGCCACTTTGAAGCATCAAACTTGTTTTGCTCGTAGAGGATTAGAAGACAAGGAGAAATATAACAGATAGAATGGTATGGATGAATGAGAAGCGAGGAAGGAAGAAACCAGTTTAATGGAAAACGAAGAGATGGTTATGCGTGCTCAAGGAGATAATCTGCTCCTGTCTCTGCTTGTTCATTGTCCAAGGAAGAAAGACAAAAGAAAAAGCTGCTTCGCGTACCATGGAGTAAAATTTTCAGTTAGGTCCCGTGGTAGAGAGAAAAACTTCCATATATGTAAATTATTCATTCATAACATGACTATCCATTTAAAAATTATTCATAACATGACTACTCATTTAAAAATTAAATATTATTTTTATAATTAAAATATAAATATTTTTAATATTTTAACTAAATTATATTATTTTAATTACTACCGGTCTGACTCCGATTTAACCACAATCTAACCTACTGACCTTTAAATTAATACTTGAATCGGTTTAGTATCAGTTTTTGGTTCCACAAAAATGCAAAACAAACAGTAAAGTAACAATAATCCACAAAATTCTAGTTCATTGTTACAATATATATTAATGCTCAAAATTGAAGTACTATTATTTGTTAAAATTAAGGTTGATCTTCTTGGTGATCAAGTGGATGTACTTCTAACCTTGCTTGAGAAGATATATGTTACTCTTTATCAGCACGCACCAGATTTGCAGCAACATTTTGAGGTAAGCATTGTTTTTTTTATTCCTTTCAAATGATGCATGGAAAATCAAGTCAAAATATGGACTCACTGTGTTGAAACTGGAAAGTATGCCAATCCCAAAGCAACTCATTTTTGACAAAAAAAAAAAAACACTTTCAATAAAACTATTCAAGTGATGCTAAATGTAATACGAATAATCAAAACTTCAAATGGTTCATGTTGTGATGTGAATATGAGATGAGATGAATAGACACAAAAAAGTTTAAATGACAATCCTACGTTCGGAAACATGCAGACTCTTACAACTTTTGAGACAGTTATTCTCACATCGTCTTGGTTGAAACGTGGTTTTGATCAAGATCAACAGTTATCCGCAACACACACTAATCATGATTGAAAATTAAAGAAACAAAATAAGCCGTCCTCTAACCTAATTAGAATGATACATATTTGAAATTGAATTATTTACATTTATGCATTCATATATCCTAAAAGTAAGTGTCAAAAGAATGTGACTTTTCAGTGACTCGGATCTTAACTTTACACTCATCCATAATCTCTGTTTCTTTTCTTTTATATTTTTTAGAGAAAATTTATTAATTCATTATGACATTCTTTTATATGAAGCTTCTATTAGATAAGGAACAACTTGAGCATCAATACAAATATAATTCACCGAAGAGATACCAAACTAGAAAAAGAAGCTTAAGCTTAAAGGCTCTTCAAATTCTTTGATTAATCAAAACTCAAGTTTTCTCAACAATACATCAGGAAGTTGACAAAAGATTATCTTAAATGTATGAGCTAGTTAGGTTTTTTTTTTTAACAAATATAAGATCTTAATCCATTCTATCTCTTATATTTATTTATTTATTTTCACAAACTAATAACTTATAAATTAATACATAATCTAATGCAACATAGGGATATTATAGGAAGATCATGTCACAATTTATTAGAATTAAGTAATTTATTTAGTTTTATTAATCTACCCAAATTAGTATCTTGTGTTAGGTTTCCAAAGATATATAGCATGCAAATTACTCATGATTTATTTTAATTGGTCCCTATCAATTTAAAATTTTTATTGATAATAATTGTAATCTTGTTCAGGTCTATAATATGTTGGAGCTGATAAAGAATGAACTGGCTAATGAAGCTATATAGTACTTAATGCAGTGACATGGAGATAAGTTCCAGCTGTGTCATTTCTGTAAATTTGTATTAACTTTTTAAATTTAAATGGCAAGAGACTATTGTTTTATGATATGTAATAATATTTGTGAGAAATATATAATGCCATTAATTTTAGACTAGAAAATTCTGCCATCTTAAAAAGTATTTCGGAGAATGAACTTGGTCAAATGATTTTGCATTACTAAATTTGGAAGCACTTTTGACTAGGAAAGCATATCTAATTCAATTGAAAAAAAAAGAATCACTAATTCAATATCAAAATTAAATATTGAATTATAATTGAAGTAAAACTTATGAGGAAAAAAATCAATCCAAATAGCATATAATATAAGCTTAAAACACAAGTGGTTTTTTTTTTTTAAAAAAAAAAAAGCAAATTCATCTTATTTAACTTATCAAAATCAAGTCAAGGGAAAATGACAAAAAGATAACCTAAAAAAGATGCTAAAAAAAAATCAGAGTGGATGAATTTCAAAATTCCAAGTCAAACCCTTAGGGCCTGTTTGGTTTGAGGGGAGGGTAGGGTAGGGTAGGGTAGGGAAGGGAGGGGAGGTTTCATCCTCCCCTTGTTTGGTTTGATCAAAAAGGAGGAGAGGGAGGGATATTTAATGATCCCTTGTTTGGTTCAAGAAGGGAAGGGAAGGGATAGTAATAATCAATTTACCATTTTATCCTTACATATTAGTTTATATTTTTTATTGATATATTATATAAATTAATTTACATCTTAGTTTAAATCATATAATTTAATAAAAATTCAGTCTTATCATGTTAATATGTGCATTAAAAAATTGGTATAGTATTCTTTTAATTCTAATTAATATAATAATATATTTGAAATAATCCAATTAACAAATTTTATATGCTCTAAAAAAAATTGAAATTTTATTCTAGGCTATGCCTTTTTTCAACTTTAAATATATTTAATAAATAATATATTTATAAAAAATAATTAATTTTATATTATTATAATTTTTTATTTAAATAATTTTTTAATTATAATAATTTATATTTTTTATTTTTTACTTAGGATAATATATTTTTTATTTAAAATAAATATTATAATAACATATTTTATTAGTGGTTGTGGAATATCAAAAAAATCATAAGGGTATAATAGTCCAAAAATTTAGCTCCCCTCCAAAAACCCCCAATTTGGAGGGAAGCTAAAATGGGGGGAGGGGGGAGGGGGGAGGGGAGGGAACATTTTGGCTTCCCTCCCCTCCAAAATTTTTAACCAAATGAGGGGAGGGGCACATTTTCCCTCCCCTCCCCTCCCCTCCCCTCCAACCAAACACACCCTCAGTACTACTTTGGAAATTTCAAATATTATGAAATGACACCATTACCCTTGTACTCTCAGTAATTATTTTTGTTTAGCTATTAACTACTTTAGTTTTGCTATTAACAACTTTTGTTTTTAGAACTCTAATGACTACTCTTATATAGTCATTGACTACTCTAATTTCAGTATTGACTACTTTTGCTTTCAAAACTCTATGACAACTCTTGCATAACAAAAGTAGTCGATAGTAAAACTAGAATAGTCAATAATTAAATAAGAATCGTCACTCAATTTTTAAAAAGGTTAAGGTGCAATTTTACCAATAAAGTTTTGCACCAAGAGCTTTGAGAACTATTTAGTTTTGAAAAGAGCAAAATTAGGCATAGTCATTAAAAAACAGAGCATTTTCATCGCTCCTATTGAAAGTAGTAAACATACATTTATTTTTCTTCAGGTGTGTCCTACTCTTTTTTCCTCATTTCTTCTCTCTTCTCGTTATTCTTCTTCCTCTCCATCATTTTTTTCCTCAAACTCTCTCTCCTATTAACACAAATACAATCCCAGTCTCACATCTCCACTTATCCCTCTGCTTCTCATCTTTCTTTCTCTATCAATTTTTAGCAGTCAAGCCGCTCGCACTTGCAAACTATAACATCCCAAATTTAAGGCCTAGAAGTATCAAAATTAGTTTAAAATGGGTAGACTACTAGATCCCTTTTGGTAGGAGTTCTAGAAGTTCCTAGAAAAGATGAGAGGATTTCTAAGGACTAAGTCACAAAGTAAGAGTTTTCTGGAACCACGAGATAAGCAAATTAGAGACTCTAATGAAGTCTCAACAAAACAAAAATGGGAATTGGAGATGATTAAGGGCCAAAGGTTGTGCTTGAAACCTCAGTGAGATGATTCCTGAGGCTAAACTCAAGCATAGACATAATTGTAAAGTTGAAAAGTTTTGGGCTGAAAAGATTAGTGATGGAAACTACGCCCAAAAATTCTAGAAAAATATTGAAAAAAATGGGAAATAAGGTTTTAAGGCTTGTAAGAGGTTAACAATGATGAAAATACTACTAGAGCAGATTGATGAGATTCCAAGGTTTTGGCTAATTACGAATATTAGCTAAAATTGAATTATTTAAAATATGAGGCAGCCTTAGATAATTAGAAAAAAAATGAAAAATAATATTTGAAGAATTATCACAGGTTTTAAAAATAATTTCGTCTCCAGAAAGCAAACAGGTTGGCTTCAATACAATTTAAAGCTTATTTATATACTATCCGGGAAAAGTCAAAATAAATTGTCTAGAGGTTGACTTTTGACTTAAGAAAAATTATAGAGATTTCCCATGATGAAAAGGTAGTATTGGTATCCAAATACAGATTCTCAGAGTTATGAACCAGTAGAAAGAATCTGGTCAAGTTTACTTTGAAATAAATATTATTAAATATTTTAATAAAAGGTACAGGAAAAGGCATTTCTCCCTTCAAGGTAAGCATATATAATACCATGTGGACTTATTTGAAATTAAAAAAGGGTGTTAGAACATATTTTAGAGTTACCAAGTACGTCAGGACTTGAAAAAGTACTCGATACGATGTAAAATCGTAAAATCAGCGGAGAAATAGTCAAGGGTATGAGGGAGCACAAATTTCTCCCTATTTTAAAGCAAATTTGATGAGATGACATGAATGGAATAATATATTTTGTTAAGGGTTAAATTTGAAAGAATAAAATTATGTAATAAAAAATTTGTATTTACCATACATATGTAATAGGTGGCATATGTGAGGTGGCTTATGGCATTAAATAAGGGCATACATAAGGAGATAATGTGGCAAGAATCAAGAAGGTAAGGGACACATGGCAAAGAGATTAAATGAATGGCCAAGATCAATTACCCACACACAGGATCAAAGCTAGGATGTGAGTAAAATTTTTATAAATACCTTCCCTCCCCATTTAGGCCAAGTTTCAACCAAGCTAAGGAAGAGGGAAAGGAAACCGAAATGGAGAAGGGAAAAGGAAGAAGAGAAAGACCAAGAGAAGACATGCAGGATCAAGTTTCAAGACAAAATATGTTCATAGTTTCGATGTAGTTTATCTTGCTACTTGTCTTGTTGAGTTTGGTTATGGATTTTGATG